AATCAAAAATAAAAGAAAATAAAAGAAAGGAAAAGAAAAATCAAACCAGTGGGTTGCCTCCAACTAAGCGCTTGTTTTAAGTTAATAGCTTGACTTGGCGGAGTTCAGTATGTGGGTGGAGTGGTGGAGGATTGCTGCTGCCTCCGGGCCTTCCAAGGCGGTGTGTTAACTGAACCAGTCTGGGCAGTTGCAGGAGCTGCAGGTGTCGATCGACACTCTCGTCGTTACCTTCAAGAACAACAGGGAAAACAAGCTTTCGAGGAACTCTAGGCTTGTTAACATGTGAAGCAGACTTCAAAGAATCTAAGGAATTAATTGATGGTAAAGCAGGAGAAGAGATAGAAGAGAACCTATCATAGAGGGCCTCAAGAGGTGTGGGATGAAGAGAATGTGCAGAATCCTCTTTCTGTGAATCCCGAGGTTGTTGATCGACAGGAGGGATGTTGTCGATCGACACCGATTCTTTACAACTCTCATTGGCGAGCTAGGCTGATGGGAGCGTTGTGTGTGACTCTATTTGGGGATTCTAAGCAGTCAGAGGAGGTGTGTCTGTGCTAGAGGCAATACTACTGATAGGCTTAGTGAACGCTGAACCATCCATGCCAAACTCCATCTCCAAATCACATACTTTGAAAGAGATCCTTCCTCTCTTCACATCAATCCTAGCACCAGCTATAACTAGGAATGCTCTTCAAAGGATAAGAGGATTCTTGGGTTCCTTCTCGTAGTACAGGACCACAATCTGCAGGGATTAGGGAGTTGCCAACCTTAACAGTAACATCCTCAAGAATTCCTTCAGCGACTCTGTTGGAACGATCCGCAAAGAGGATAGTGATTCTAGTCGGCCTATAGTTAGCCATGCCTAGTCTCTCAGCAACAGACTTAGGCATAACATTGATACTTGATCCCAGATCACACTAAGAGCGGTTGAACCTGCGTGAGGAGATAGAGCAATCAAGAACAAAGCTACCTGGATCCGGGAGCATCTCAATGGTCTGATCAGGAGTGATAGTGCGGATGTACTCAGCAATGTCCACTCTCTGTGCCTTCTCTTTCTTGACCTTAGGCAGCATGATTGCACTGATGTCCCTTGTCAGCAATTTATCTTCATTAGAGCTAATACCATTGTCAACAAGTCGCTTGACATACTTGTTGAGTGGAGCAGAAGATGTCTCTAAAGCATCCTGAGGAAGAAAAGTGAGGATCCTTTCCATGATGGCGGTGCACTTAGCAGCATGAATCTAATGCTTAAAACGACGCTACCTCGGATAAGGGACATGAGGAGTGTAAGCAGCCTCGGGCTTCATTGGGATTCACCCTCATATGGTGCAGTCTGGACCCAATGTCGATTGACGCTAAAGGTGTGTCGATCGACACCCTCGTGAGGAACCGTTTCTGAAAACAAAGTCCCAGTCGGTGTCGATCGACATTGATAAATGTCGGTCGACACCAACTCTACAGCAACAAGCTCCAACGCGTCTTCAGTGTCCAATTCTTCCCGCACATCATCTCCATCTCTGATCAAGATGGCATTACAGCTCTTCCTTGAGTTAACTCAATGGTGATTCCCAAGAACTTTGGCAACAACGTCAAATTTGATAAGGTTCTCTGGAAGTTTTCTTCTGTAAGGCAGGCTTTTGAGTGTAGTTTGATGAACTCTGGTTCCCTGTAAACCTGTTGCCATTGAAGTTGCCCTATGGCTGTCCAAACGTCCTGTAGCCCTGACCATCTATGTAAAAGATTCCCTCTTCAGACTCAGTCTTAGGCTCAATAGTCTCATCCTCAACTGCAAAGTGGACATGCTTCTTTCTTGTAAGCAAGTTATGAACTGAATCTAACTTGGCATTAACCTCTGCCATTTGGTTGCCTGAAACAGCTCCAACAATCTTCTTCCTCTCAAAATCGGCATTCTTGATACTGTTGCTACAAGCAAGTTTCTCTATCAGAGTAATAGCATCAGCTAGATAACGTGTATTGAAGTTATCATTGCTCGCTGCATCTAGAGCCATCTGGTATCTCCAATAAACTCCTCTGAAAAAGGTACCAAGAAGTTGTACCTCACTAAAACCATGATGTGGGCAGTCCCGCTGATACGCCTTGAAACGAACCCAAGCGGCTTTGAAAACCTCAGTTGGACCTTGTGTGAAGGTAGACAGCTTGTTTCTCAGCTCCTTAGACATAACATCATCATATAAATTGTTCAAGAAAGCTATCTTGATGCTTCTCTAAGTCTTGCGGAAACCTGCTTTGAGTTGTTTCATCCAAAAAGCAGCTTCCCCAGAAAGTGAATAAGGGAAGAGCTTGCAAAGTAGCTAGTCCGCTGAGACTCCAATAGCTTTGATGCTCAGAAAGAGGTCTTCAAAACGCTCGATATGGTCTATTGGCTGCTCATGAGACAAGCGATGGAAAGGATGCTGGCCAACTACTGCAAATTAGCCAGGCTTAAGCTCATAGTCGTTCCTCTGGAAGGGTGGGGTACAATCGCTGATCGATTAGCATAGAACAGGTCAGACTTGTTGAAATCCCCGAGAGTACGACATGGTTCCGCGGCTGGAGGAATAGTTGCAGGAATCTGGGGTTGGTGTCGATCGACACCTCTGTTGTGTTGGTCGATACCAATCGCATCTGCGTTCTGCTCCTAAAGGTGTCGATCAACACCCAGTTGGTGTCGCTCGACACCGAGCCATACTGCATCTCTGGCAGCTAATTGAGCATTGAGGCGCGCCTGATCCTAATTGGTGTCCTCAGGTAGGATGAGTCCATAATCATCCAGTCTCTGACCAGTCTCATTGTAGGCTTGCCCATACTCATCTCTCAAAACTCCTTCTGCATTAGCTCTGATTACTCTGTCAGCCATTGTTAATCTCTGAATTTTTCAGTTGGTGCATTCAAATTTTCCCAAGTCCAGAACAGACAAGTCGATCAGCTCCTTCTATTGTGTGATCCTTGTTTGCCTAGGCATACACCTGAGACACAGAAAAGAAGAAAATAAGAAACGCGTGAGTGACAAAATAAAAGTAAAAACTAGACGAAATCTCTAAACTTAACTCAATGGTGATTCCCAAGAACTTTGGCAACAGCGTCAAATTTGATAAGGTTCTCTGGAATTTGTCTTCTGTAAGGCAGGCTTTGGAGTGTAGTTTGATGAACTCTAGTTCCCTGTAAACCTGTTTCCATTGAAGTTGCCCTGTGGCTGTCCAAACGTCCTGTAGCCCTGACCATCTATGTAAAAGATTCCCTCTTCAGACTCAGTTTTAGGCTCAATAGTCTCATCCTCAACTACAAAGTGGACATGCTTCTTTCCTGTAAGCAAGTTATGAACTGAATATAAGTTGGCATTAACCTCTGCCATTTGGTTGTCTGAAACAGCTCCAACAATCTTCTTCCTCTCAAAATTGGCATTCTTGGTATTGTTGCTACGAGCAAGTTTCTCTATCAGAGTAGTAGCATCAGCTAGATAACGTGTATTGAAGTTATCATTGCTCGTTGCATCTAGAGCCATCGGGTATCTCCAATCAACTCCTCTGAAAAAGGTACCAAGAAGTTGTACCTCACTAAAACCATGATGTTGGCAGTTCCGCTGATACTTCTTGAAACGAACCCAAGCGGCTTTGAAAACCTCAGCTGGACCTTGTGTGAAGGTAGACAGCTTGTTTCTCAGCTCCTCAGACATAACAACATCATATAAATTGTTCAAGAAAGCTCTCTTGATGCTTCTCCAAGTCTTGAGGAAACCTGCTTTGAGTTGTTTCAGCCAAGAAGCAGCTTCCCCAGCAAGTGAATAAGGGAAGAGCTTGCAAAGTAGCTAGTCCGCTGAGACTCCAATAGCTTTGATGCTCAGAACGAGGTCTTCAAAACGCTCGATATGGTCTATTGGCTGCTCATGAGACAAGCGATGGAAAGGATGCTGGCCAACTACAGCAAAGTAGCCAGGCTTAAGCTCATAGTCGTTCCTCTGGAAGGGTGGGGGTACAATCGCTGATCGATTAGCATAGAACAGGTCAGACTTGTTGAAATCCCAGAGAGTACGATGTGGTTCCACAGCTGGAGGAATAATTGCAGGAATCTGGGGTTGGTGTCGATCGACACCTCTGTTGTGTTGGTCGATATTAATCGCATCTGCGTTCTGCTCCCAAAGGTGTCGATCAACACCCAGTTGGTGTCGCTCGACACTGAGCCCTGCTGCGTCTCTGGCAGCTAATTGCGCATTGAGGCGCGCCTGATCCTAATTGGTGTCCTCAGGTAGGATGAGTCCATAATCATCCAGTCTCTGACCAGCCTTATTGTAGGCTTGCCCATCCTCATCTCTCAAAACTCCTTCTGCATTAGCTCTGATTACTCTGTCAGCCATTGTTAATCTCTGAGTTTTTCAGTTGGTGCATTCAAATTTTCCCAAGTCCAGAACAGACAAGTCGATCAGCTTCTTCTATTGTGTGCTCCTTGTTTACCTAGGCATACACCTGAGACACAGAAAAGAAGAAAACAAGAAACGCGTGAGTGACAAAATAAAAGTAAAAACTAGACGAAATCTCCAAACTTAACTCAATGGTGATTCCCAAGAACTTTGGCAACAGCGTCAAATTTGATAAGGTTCAAATTACCCTAAGAACTACTCTCTCAAATAAGAGATCAATTGCAGAATTTAAGGATCGATTTCTGAAAATAACCGATCTCAGCACATTCATCATTCTCCCCCTCTTGGACTGGAATCTTTAGAGACGAAGTGAACATGCTTTTGTTGCACTTGGAGGAGCTTGTTTAGTTTGTCATTGAGAGCTTTCATCTCTCTATGATGCTTGTCATCAATGTTAGAGCTGGTGCAGATGCCTCTGTCATAATGCTCAATTTAATTGCCATCCGACTGAGCCAATTTTTCAACTAGCTTTCATCCTTCTTCCACATCCTTGTTGAGTAAATTCCCATTAGAAACGGTATCTAGTAGCATCCTTATCTTAGGAAGGACGCCTTTGTAGAGTTTGGTGAGAAGAGAAGCTTGTCCAAAGCCTTGATGAGAGCATTTGGTCTAATAGCCTTTGAAGTGTTCCCAAGCTTCACAGAAGGTTTCAGTATGCTTCTGTGTGAATCCGGTTATCTCACTCCGTAGTCGTGCACTCCAAGTGAGACTGGAAACAAGCGAAACTTGAAACCATCTTCACTTACTCCATTGATTTTTGTAAGGCCAGAGCGCCTTTCAAACTCGTCTAGATGATCAAGCGGATCCTCCATTGGCAAGTTGTGAAACTTGTTCTCCCGAATCATTGTAATGATACCTCTTTTGATCTCAAAGTTTTTGTTCTTAATTGGAGGTGGAACAGTTCCATGACCCTGGTTGTGGTTGTGTGGGAAGTCACCTACACTATTGTTGGTGGGCTGCTCTTGGTCATCTACAATGTTAGCCATTGTATCTGATTCTATATGATCTCTCAGTTGGCGAGTAATACGGTCGATGTTATCGTTGAAGAGGAGGTTCTGATTTCCTTGTGACCGTTTATGCATACAACAGGTATCAGTTTGGCTTTAACAAACCAATCAGAGATGAGTCTGTAAAGCTGGTTGCTAGGTACCTGAAAAACAAAGACAGAAAAGCACAATGTCAGTAGCTTTTGTAACCAAAAACCAATTTGATCTTAATAATTCTAATGATCTCATATATAGCAAACAAACACCAAACTTGCAACGACGCCAAATTGATAATAGATTTTTCAGTATCAATTATTCTAAAGCACTATCATGTTGTTGCAGTACTTAAGGATGACATTCCAATCTAGTGTGATGTAAACTGATGATATATGATCAGAATTCACTAAGTCAAGCCGAGCAGAGAGTTGTTATTTTCTAATGATCGTAATGTGAAATGAAATAAAACTAAAGTGTGAAATAACATTAGCGGACAGACGAATAACAAAGCAGGTAAGATAACAAGTAATCAAATGGATAAAAGATTCCTAAAGATGGGGTAATCGAATAACGTGGTCTCCTTAATCTATTTAGACGGTTGACAAAACTTCAAGGAAGTTATCCCTGGACAACAAGTTCAAAAGCGGATGAATTCACTACCATGATAGAAACCCGCAAGCAGAGCTAGACACAGACCTAATCACCATTAGCGATCTCTAACTAAGCAGGTTATACTGAGTAAACTTGTTAAAGCCAATACTCGTTCTAAACGGCCAATACCTTAGGATAGAGACGAGTATCTCTAGAATTAGTAGATCATGCATTCCATCAAACACCTTTTGGGTGCGGGAATGATTGGATTCATATTCTAGTTGATCAGAAAAGAACGAGCAATAAGCACAACTAATAGAGAAGGGATTCAAACAATCTAAACTCAACCACCTAAAATAACTAAGGATAACACGCTACTCTATCCCATCCTCAGAAATACTAATCACTACTCAGACAACATCAAAGACGATAATAGGGAAATAAATGAAAACATGATAACAGAAAGATTAGAGGATAAGAAAATGAAAACAAGAATTAAATCTGATAACTTCAAAACGAATACAAAGTCGCAGGAGCTTATTGCGGCTATTAAAGTTTAAACAAGTAATAACAAAATGGTAAGAAAAGTGATGATGATGCCCTAAGGAAAACCCTTAGAGGCTATTTGTAAAGACAAAACAAAACAAATAAGGAAACAAGATAGTAGTCTTCACATCGGGACCTTGGTTATTGGGTGTCTGATGGGCTGAAATAGGCCTCGTCGCGATCGAGTGTAACAATGAAAAAAATCCCAATATGCAATGCACATGCATTCTAATGCAAAACCGTTCTAAGTATGAAAAACACATTAAAATGACTACTAATGAGATGAAATGTGGGTGAAACAATGTCAAAGCGATGAAGAATGAATGCCTAAAGCATGCAAATTATACGCATAGAGTAAAACCTCTATAAATTAATAACGTTGGGACCGTGAAAATTTATTAATTTAGAAAAGTATTAATTTATCGATTAATTAATAATTATTAATATATAGAGAGATTATTAATTCAGATACATGTCTTTAAATGTTCTCTATTTCTGTAGGTGCAATGGATCGAGAAGTACACACAAGTGGTGGAAATAACATACACTAGTGGTGAAAATGGACAGCCACAAGTGGTGAAAGTAGACAAAACAAAGTTGAAGCTAGAAGACAAGTATATACGTCTCTTGATCCAATTCATGTCAGCCACATATGTAACTTTTCTGTAAACTAAAAGTTACGAATCACTTTTTTGTAAACCACAAGTTACGAATCTCTTCTTCTTTTTGACTTGATATATAATTTGTAATATAGTACACAACTAATACACAACCTTCTCTTATTCTTGAAAACCTTCTTTTCTTACCTCGTCAAAACACAATATTGAACGCTAAACACATTCTTCTCTTGTTCTTTTAAAACTTCTTACTTTTCTAATACTTCATCAAAACAAAGTTTATACCAAAAGCCCAAATTTCTCTTCACCATAATTTTTTATTATACTTCATCATTTCTTTTAAACCAAGATGATGTCTTCTTCTCATGATAACTTTCATGAGACTTGAACGAAGAATTTGATAATCTTTTTGATGAAGCATTTGAAAATGAATTCTATTCATATGGTGAACACCAAGTAGCAACCAACCCAAAGAGAAAACAAGACTATATTGAAAGAGATCGTGAAGAAGGACACATCAAGTTATGGAACGATAAATTTAGTGAAAATGAAATTTTCTCTACTAATCAATTTCCACCCCGTTTTTGAATGAACAAACCCTTGTTCATGCGTATTGTTGATCGACTCACCTATGAAATTCCATTCTTTTAAGAAAGAAGAGATGCGGAAGGTTAGGTTTCTCTAAACTACAGAAGTCTACAACAACAACTCGTATGCTCGCATATGGTTGAGCGGCCAATGCGGTTGACGAATACCTCCGTATTGGTGAAACCACTTCACTATCATGCATGCATAATTTTGTTGAAGCAATATTTTTTTTGTTTGGACAAGCGCACCTACGAAAACCCACTACAGAAGATATTGATCGGTTACTCATGATTGGAGAGTTTCCAGGTTTTCTCGAGATGATGGGAAGCATCGATTTTATGCATTGGGAGTGAAAGAATTGCTCAACCGCTTGGAAAGGGCAATATGCACGTGGATCTGGAAAATCAAGCATCGTTTTAGAGGTTGTAGCTTCTCAAGATCTTTGGATATGACACATGTTTCTTAGACCTCCAGGTACCTTAAACGGTATCAATATTCTTGATCGTTCTCCTGTTTTTGATGATATCTTACAAGGTCGAGCTCCAGGAGTTAATTATTTAGTCAACGGGAACGAGTATCATTTGGGTTACTATCCCACATATGGAATTTATCCTAAATGGGCTACTTTTATCCAATCAATTCTAATTCCGCATACTCGGAAAGCATCTTTATTTGCAACAACTCAAGGAGCTTATCGTAAAGATGTCGAGCGTGCTTTCGGAGTTTTTCAAGCTCCATTTGCCATTAAAAAAAAATTCAGCTCTTATTTGGGATAAGGTAAAAATAGGAAATATTATGCGAGCATGTATAATACTTCACAATAATATAGTAGAAAACGAACGAGACACTTTGATGTCTCTAAATTCGTACAACCGTAATCAACTAGAAGTTCACATGTAGATTTCATCTTTTCTACATATATGCCTTCGAATCTCGAGAACATGTTGCACACTCAAACTCGAATTCGTGATAAACGTGCACATCAACAATTGAAATATGATTTGGTTGAACATATATGGAAAAAATTTAGCATAAATCAATTGTTAAACTTTATGTTTTCATTTATGTTTTAAAAAATATTATGTCATCTGTGTATAAAATATTATTAATTAAATAATGATTAAGTTTTTTAAAATTAAAAAATTAAAATATTTTATTTTTAAATTAGGTTTTTTTCAAAACTTATTCATTAAATATGGTTAAAAAACCTTGATTAATATCCCACCATTAAGGATTGTCTAAGATCATCTTCAATGGGGAAGGTTGTATTGAAAAAAATAGTATTGTACCTCTTGATTAATTTGGAAAAAACAAATATAAATTGATCAAAATCATGGCGATTGTAATATGTGGCGACGCGTAATTTTAGAATTTGAGAGCCAGCTGTCTTGAGAGACTTTAAAATTTGAGAGAGCCACATACATGGAAACGCATGATTGGTCAAAAAAAGTTAACAAAAAAAAAATGATGTCTTGAGTTTTATTTTTTCCTTTGGTCAAACATGAGTCTCTCTCTCTCTCTCTCTCTCTCTCTCTCTCTCTCTCTTCTAAAATAATTGAGTCATCAAAAAAAATTTGGCAGACATTCAAAAGAAAAAATCTCTCTCTCTCTCTACATGTGCTCTACTTCTTAAGTACTGTATTCGTTGGAATGGGTAAGACATGAGAAAACGCACCAAGTATGGAGAAGTTTTTCCTTAGGACTGTGGCCGATCTAGAGTTGCGCAAAACATTTCCGTGGGGGAAGATATGCATTTGATGAAAATCTGAAAAACAATTTCTATTTGGTGGACAAATGCAATGGAAAACTTGGTCCAAAAAAAGTTATCTTTGGAGGTATGTGATTTGATTATTCATCACTTAATTTTTAAGAAAGTTAAACTGTGTACAACTTAGATTTTATTAGCAGTTATACAACTTAGTTTTGTATGATCTTGTGTTTTTTTTGTTTGGTAGTGATTAGCATTTGAGTCGATTCCAGTTCTCAGGAACAATATCTTCAAAGATATTGAATCCGCAGATCCTTAGTGTCCCCGAATGTGTAAATTCAAGTTTAAATCAAGTAGTATGAAAGTGTTTTCAATGTTAGATGTATATGACAATCTCGGTAAATCTAATGTTAATGATAACATGTTTATTAATTATCTATCATGTATCATGGATGTTGTATTAATTGGGTTTTCTTTTCATGCACAAGACATTCAGAGTATCTTGACTCCAACTCCTAATGAGAAACTACTTTTAGAAAGAATTATGGATGTGAAGTGTGGAGTGAATGATGTTGATGATGTAATAGTTGATGGCTGGAAGTAGCGTCTAGTTAATGAGCACATTGCTATATGTTTTGAACTGTTGTTCAATGAAGATGT